GCGATTCGTGAATGATCAAACGATCAGTCGTCTTTACATGATAAACGTCGTACGGTGTTTGAGAACGGCTCTTTCATCGAGAAAACTTCATATAGCGTGGACAATTTTTTCTTATCTAATTCTTGTCTCTTTCCAAGTCAGGATCTTCTATCTTAAGCAAAGCTCTGTTCAAATCTGTAAATATAAATTCTTCATTAGAATACTATTCGGTAGATAAGGTAATATACATCGGGGAATAGTTCTATACAGATAGAAGTCTACAATCTTTGTCGACGTTTTACGGTCAATGCTCCTTTCTTCAAAATGTCATTTTAAAGTTCGCCGACGTAGCAGACGCTCTACCACAGACTCTAATATCGCTTCTTGTTTAACTGTTCCAATTACCATATTACCATCACACACACGTGCTACCTATGGACGTTGCAAGGTGTCTGAAATGTGAGCAACTGTAGGTGAAAAAAGTAAACACAACAGCATAAATAAATATAAATAAATATAATAACCGGACGAGGTCAGTGTGAGCAGCGTCCCATGACATTTTCGCAATCAGGAAGCCGTTCTTTTTCACCGTTCTTTTTCGAAACGAAACAGCGAATCGAAGCACGGGAAAGGCAAGAGCGAAGGCTCGTTGGTAATCAATATCGAAGCGGATAATTCCCGGTCGTGGCCGCCGCGACATCGAAAAACACTCGAGGACATACGAGGAAATTGAATCCCGAGCCGAAAACCCGAGATATCAGATTTGTCGAGGTTTTTACACGGTGCAGGCTTTCCGACGGGATAAGAAGCTTCTTCGAGGGAGCTTGTTCGACGATGGTAACGCGAGAGCATGCTAAAAGCCGCCAAGAATGGAATAATATTCCGCTCGGAAAACGCTGCGTCTTTCGTAGGCCACCAACGTGAGCGTAAGTCTGTGCACGTGTGTGTTGGAAAGGTATTGGGAAAAAGTGGAAATTCCATGAAATCCCTGGCGGAAATAACTGACAAAGGCAGACCTGTCTATCAAAGCAGGCCTTGACACGGGCGAGACCATCCGTGTTGAAAGTTTGTTGCACCGTTTTTCAATACCGCAAACTTTCTCCGACGGTTAACCTTTGAAATTAACGGTATTCCTGGTCACGGTAAGAGTTTATTTGTAAAAATAGTGAAACGTAACCGACGATTAGAGAGCCGACGCGTCGTATACGCATAATACGACTGACGCAGTAACGATAAGGACCAGAGCTTTGCAAGTTTGTACCATTCGTCGAGAAGAGTAGAATGTTTCTAATAAACGTAGAGACGCTGAAATCAATCCTTTCGACGTTGAAATTTTACTTCGCCGTAACGTAAGATTCTGGAGACTTTAGTTTGCTGGACTTGTCTTTGTAACGATACGCGAAGAATCTATTCGTCAACCATAAACTATGTGACAGTTTTACGACAGAGAATAGAACATGTACGACGCATGGAAAGAGCCCGTGAGAAAATACCTCGTGATCCGCGGATGTCAGTCTTATACCGAAATTGGATGGAAGACGTCGAATGTCATTTGCAAACGCGAAAGCACACAGAAATTTGTTTGATGGATTGGTTTTAAAAGCTGTGCCGATCGCACGTGTTTTATTCTTCTTTCGGAGAATTATAGACTCGTAAAATCTCGCCTTTCTTTTTCTGACACCCTATGTAACGATATAACGATTAGGTGGAAGTTTTCTAAGAAAAAATCCAGAGACACTTTAACCGGAAGAAGGCTGCGGACGACGTATAATCGATGTTCGCGCGCGAACGTCGACGTAACGCGACGCGTGTCATTAACCATCGCGTCACGGTGACAAGATGACAAGAAAAATATTGCCTTTTAAACAAAGGAAGACAGAGCAAGGATTGAATAACCGGCGGAACACGCGAGAATCCGAAGAATTTCATCTCAACTGAGAGGATATGCGATGTTCGAGAGATGAAAGTGGCGAGAAATTGAAGGCTCGTGACCCCGGCCACGTTCAACGGATGAAGAACGGATAAAACGGCGACGACAGGTCGAGCAATAGCGAGACACACGCTTCAAAAAGGAACGTAACATCGATTCCCCTTCACGAGAATTATCCCGAGGGAGACGAGAAGATCGCAAACTTCCTGTCGATACCTGTAAACCGCTTCCGTAACGACCCAACGACCACTCTCCTTCGCCGATTTCTATTTCTTCAATTACTGAGAAATATTATTTCTTCAAGTCGTAACTAGATTGCATTTTTATTGCGTTTTTGAATTTTTACGCGTTTCTGATTAATTTCATGTTGCGAGAACCCGCAGGATACGTACGATATACGAAGGTTTGTAAAATAACCAAAGTGAAGCATTCGTCGTAATTTAATTAAAAAAAAAAAAAAGAAGTAAAAGACAGATTACTATGCAGGTTCCGTTTCTTTGGTTATCTTCACAGGAATGAGAAACTGCGTAAAAATCCGCAACCTAGTCCAGTTATAGGAGTCAAAGAGAAAGACAAGGATCGAGTTATTTGTATTAGGTTGTCTGGAAAATGTCTTTCTTTTACAGATACGTCTTTTACAACAACGCATCTTTATACAAACATGAAACCTAATCTGTCGAACGTTGTGATCTTTAGTTTGATAGAACAAAATGGATCGTACGTAATTCGATAAAATAATGTGAAACGAAAAATGTTGAGCATCCATCATTTCCTTGTGAAACGAAAGAAACTTTTCGGACGACCTAATACAAGTTTTTAACTCGTTCGAGATTGCCGACTCAAACGCCGAATCGGATGATTTCTCTTTTCAGTGGCCGAGAACTCGATGGTTCTCAGCAGAGTTAGAAGCTATTATCAGTTATTAGTAGACTGCAAATGTTTATGCAAATTTACAATTTTATGCAATTTTTCGTGACTATTAATTCATCGAAATACAAATTATAACTGCAGAGATCACTCAAAGATTGTCACAAAGACAATTTCGGCTAAATACGATAGTCTCGAATGTGAATAGAACGAAGAGCGAAGAATGGAAGAACCAGCCTGGTAGATATCGAATTAACAACTAACAATTAATTAATAATTAAGCAATTTAACACGTTAAGAAATGAATAATCAGTTTTCTAGTTCGCGTGCTCTCCGTACTCCTGGATGCTTTGTTCAATATTCCATCGAATATCTCTGGTCTTCGATCTCAAGAACTTCTATTTATGTGTACGATGTTGAAGAAGCTCTGAACAAGCATTCTGAAGCTACATCTGTCTGCTTGGATAAAAGCTTCTATGAAATCAAGAGAGCACGATTTAAAGGATGGGTCGAGCCTTTTATGGAAGCTCGCCGGAGTTTTCTGGAAAATGTCCAAGAAAAGCGTCTATAAAATCGCGACCTTATACGGCTTTTGTTTCCGTGTTTAACTTCGAACGATCCGATTATGTCTGTTATTAAATCTTACATTTCGTACGCAGAAACAAAAGCGATACATTTAAATACGATGATAATGCATCGAACACAATACACGAAAAGTACGATACATTTGTTAACTGGCATTTCTACCCTACTGAAACTTTTCGTGAAAAAAAACGAAAAAATACCTTTAACTATAATCGTTGTCCCATTAATCTATTTTCTATCGAATCAAACTCGAAGCTATCGTTAAATTTCCCATCGAGAAATAAAACGAACACCAAAATTACACTTTGTGAATTTCATCCGCGAAGAGAGAAACACAGGACAAAAATCCTAACGTTTATTTCTAAAATATCTTCGTCCTCTAAGATTTCCGTAGAAAGAGAAACGCGTGACGTAACGCAACGGCGGGATCGATACGACGATCTTTCGAACCGTATGCATTCTGCATGCCGATGATAAATGCGTTCGCTCTCGCGCGATACGTGGTTGATGTACATACGCGTACGAGCCGCTCGTATTTCACGTCGCGGAGGAAATGAGTTCGGTTGCATCGGAGCTCGTATTGAATTAAGGGATGAATGGACGAGCCGAATGGTATGTCGAAGAGGCGGTGAAAAAAAAAGAAGAATGGCGCGAGACCCTTGGAATTCAATGGTCACGCGCGGATTTTCTTCATCCGGTGGACGTAACACGCGGGAGGAACGAGCCGGAATATTTACAACGGTCGTAAAAAGTGAGCCGATAGGAGTAACTTACGATGATGTAGCCTCCCCAGGTAAATTGCGGCAAATTCAGCAGTTACAAGGTATCGCTTAGGAAGACGTTGCTTACAGATTGGTACGTCAGATATTTTGCTAGTGATAAATTGCCCCGTTTCCATTCGAGCTTCCAGCTTTGCCTTAAGTTGCCTATCGATTTTGTTGGAAAACCATGTATTTTGCACATTCTCGAGCGTGCAACGTATCGAATCAAACGATATTTATTCATAGCAGACGCGTGGCCTCGTTCGGATACATTTTACTCGCTGTTAGAACGTAGAGGCGAAATAAAGCAATAGTAAAAGTTCAAAAAGAAAGGAATATACGCTCGCCTGATATATACGGCATAAAATCGGTGCGCTCGAGGACGAACTAACGTAGCTAGAACAACGTGCTGCTATGCCAATGGCGGTACATATCAGTAGGATACTGCCACGTAAGTGATAATAGCCGGTATATGGTCAGACATTGGCGCGCGGAATTAGCATCGGAGTCTGGCGTGTTTTACACGGCTATGATTTATAAAACGGATCGCTCGTAAGGTCGTCTTTGCCTTCTGGTAATCAAGAAATTGATTTTCCTCGTGCTCTTAGCTGTCGTTTCTTGCCGTTCGATGTGTTCGCGATGAATAGAGAATGAAATTCGCTGTACAGCCCGCGTGAATTAACAAACGAGCAACGATCGCGTTTGAATAGAATTAACGTGGAAATCCAGACGAGTTCTTTTCTTTCTTTTTTTTTTCTGTATCTTCCTTCGTCTTCTTTACGCGGCGCCTGCGTCTCGATCGTATAACCGGCAGCGGCAGGAATTTCCCGGAACTGTTGATCGAACTACTTGAGCAGCGAGGTGCGATGTGTTTTCAGCCGAGGCAGGGATTGCAGTGGCGGCGGAAATGAAGCAACCGGAGGAGCGCACTGCCGAAGAAAAAATGGCGTTGCTTGGGAAACCGAAACTGGGCGAGGTGTCCAGGGCGCAGATACGAATCAAAGAATCGAAGGAGTTCAAGAACACGGTGGATAAACTGGTGCAGAGAGCCAACGCTTCTATCCTGCTCGGTGAGTCGATACTTCTTCAGCTTGAAACTCTCTAAGACACTCCCTTGCAGCCCCTTGATCTCCAGCAACGCGAACGAATTCAAACGCCCCCTTTTCCATCCTCTCACGCACGTTCCTCCTAAGGGATTATTACATTTTCACCGTCGACATTCAGATCGCCTCCCCCTTGGTCGTCTCGAGGAACATTCCGCTCCGTAGTGGCCTATATTTTTATTTCTACGTAACTTTGGATATTATCTTCTTATTCTGGCGTTTTAACGAGTCGGTGGGGTAGAATATTTAAAAGCTCGATACTCGCCTGCCCAATTTCCTCCGCCTCTCGCAGCGAGATCTCTTCCTTGATCACCAAGCATTTTATGATTTCAGCCGTTTCTTGTCTCTTGTTCGCCGCATTATCCGCCGCTCTGACTTCAAATTCTCCTTATTGCACCACTCGGGCGTATATTTTCTCGTGAACGAGCCCTGATTAAAGTAGGATAGGTTAAGAAACCGCTAACCTACCGCTCTTCCACTGAAAACGAACGAACAGAAGCGTGTTGCCAGACTGCGTCTAGTGAAAAATAATTACAGAGCAAGAACATCTATTTTTATGCTTGTTTTTCCCTTCAGACATCGCGTAGTTTCCTCTTCCTTATGATCCTTCTTTCCTATTTCGCTTCCTTCCTTCGAAACTTGCCATCTACCTTGAATATATTTTATACGCTACTTTAATTTACGCGAGCGAAGAAACCATTGGTGGAAATCATTACGAGTAATTATCTAGATATCCTATAGCTAATAGAAACCAATAATAACGAACGGGTTAATGGTGGCGAGAGGAAAGAATCGCCAACACGGTCTCCCGAGAAGATTCTTCCGCCAGCAGAATCAAACTACCGTAACCAATTGAGTTATCCACATGGTCGACGAAAACGGCTTCTCTCTGATCCTAATATTTGCACAGACTACCTGAACGGACAACCATACGAGACAGTAACCTCTCGTGTTCCTGATACTTTTATCTATCAATTAGATAAAACGTACGTCTGATATTTCAAGGATGTACGAAGGTACAAAAAGCACAAAATTCTCACGGACTTTAGTTAGAGTTATACTTAACACTAGAACTACCACACCAGTCAAATTGACTGGTTTTACAATTTTATTTTAAAATTTCTACTTCATGTTATATTTTTTTCGCAACGATAACTAAAAGAATAATCTAATGAATTTTGTTTTGCTTTTTATGTAATTAAGCTGAAAATAATTTCGTATCAGGGCCACTTATACCAATACTAGTGAAAATGCCTGGTCTTTAAAAAATACGTAATAATAGAATATTTTTACGTTTATTGATTTATTACTTTCTTACAGAAGGAATTCCATGTTATGTAGTACATTTTTGGTATTATTAATCCATCTGGTTTGTCAAAGTGTAAAAGGGTCCTACAATCTGTTTATCGCACCCCAATTAACCATTTCCCCCTTTTTGTACAACTTCCCACGCGTTTTTTAAACTTTTACTGCGTATCATTCAGTATGACGATATCAGTTATCAGGAAAATTCCGGATCGATCGCTAGGTCCCAACGCTAGAAATACGACATCAGTCAAAATGATTGGTTCTACAATTTTATAAATGTGTCAATCTTCGTTTAGGTCGATCATGGTCCCAGATGGATTAATAATACCAAAAATGTACTACATAATATGGAATTCCTTCTGTGAGAAAGTAATAAATCAATAAATATAAAAATATTCTGTTATTATGTATTTGTTAAAGACCAGTCATTTTGACTGGTTTGGTAAAAATAGCTTCGTGTTAACTATCGATAGTTCTTGCGTTAAAATCATATGCAGATTAATTAGATGCACGCTTTTATTTCGGCCAAATCTTCGTTTTTCCTGAACCAGTGATCACTATCGATCAACGGATGTTGGATCATTGTCACGAAATTGGAACGTTTCGTTTTATAGCGATATAGCGAGAGTCCGATTAAGGCTAGTTCAAAAATTAAAATGGTAACAAGTTTGCGTAATCCAGGAAGTTTGGTAGGAAGCTTACACGCGAGTTTAACTGGCAAAATAATAAAAGCGAAATATCTGCGTGTATATCGGAATTAAGCCGGTCTTCGTCGATCGAGAATTATTGTATAGACGTATTTTCAATCTGTTCTTACTCGATATTAATCCATGTAGTTCGTCGTAGACTAATCCATTTATTTAATTTGATTTCTCTTCCGCCCCCTTCCATCCCCTTCCCTTTCTATTATTTATTAATTCGTAGCTATCGATATTGCCTGCACGCTCAGTCAACGTCATTCCTCTGTAAACAGATTTATATTTGTGCCCACGAATGAAAGGAAAAAGAAACGAGGAAATTCTCCGATATCCCAACGAAGTTAAAATACGCAGAAAGAGAGAAAGAGAGAGAGAGAGAGAGAGAGAGAGTTAAAACCGAGAGTACTGCGTGCGGAAACACGCGTACGCGCACTGAATCAACGCGCGAACCTTCTTCAAGTTGGATCGCACCTACGGAAGCGAAATTCGAACGGGAACAGCGAAGTTTGCGAGAGCGGATAGCTGGAGTTTAGCGATTCTATGCAACAGAGAATTCGTTTTATATGCGTTCGCAGTTCCGCTATGGTAAACCTTCTCAACTATCTCGATGCCGCAACTTTAATTATTGTCTAGACGCGCTACAACACGAAGGAGATGGTAGACGTTGGAAAAAAATGGTACGAGCTGCTGGCATCGTTTCGCCTATTTCCCTATTGATATTAGATTCGAGATCGCTGTCCCGTTATATTGTGTTTCAAACTTGTATCGTCGAGCGTAACAGAGAAATAGAGAAAGAGAGAGGAGGGTTGAGTTGGCGCAAAGTCCGGTGAATCCGGTGGCGGCTAAAGTTGAGAGGAACTACGGGTGGGTTGGTAAATCGGCACGGTTCTATTGCACGGCGACTCCTTTTGTTCGACGGGCCGTTTTGCATTTCACGTTTTGCCCTGCCTTTCGCGAGAGGAAATCGCCAGGGACACGCCTTCTTCGCGCCTCGATAAAGCGTTTCCCTTCGACGGGGTTCGTTTCCTCGTCGTTTTCACGTTTTCGTCTGGAGAGATGGAGGAACGTCCTCTCACGATCTATCCGACAGAACCCGCCAGGGCGGAGCGGAACAGAGGGGAGAAACGAAACAAAGAGAACCGGCGAAATTAATGGATTCGGGGTGGATGAGAAGTCGAAGTCCTTTGAACAAGTCGTTGACAAAGAAAGAGAGAAATACCGTTGGTGTTTAGACGCGTCGGGCCGATTGATTTATTGGCGGGCAATGTGTCTGTCGAGCCGGAGGACATCTTCGTTAATCGAGCACAGCCGACAGTCTGGTCTAATTCCGTGAGTGGAATTGTTTTCGAGCGTGGCATAGCTGTTCCAGACGATTCCCAATGGTAACGGAGAATCGATGAACATCCGCGCCAACTGCAGAAAATATTCCGGTTACGCTGTTAAACCGGAGACGAAAGAATTTTAATTTCAAACGAAGCCCCGTTGAATTAAATGGAGGGTAAGTTGCGTCAAAGAATTCACTCCGGTAATAAAAGGAAATGGAAACAGGGGCGAGAGAGAAAATTAACCCGTGAACCTTTTCCGCGTACGCTTAATTTGTTATGGTCGTTAACGTTCAAACAAATTTACCGGTATTATGAGCCCGTCGTTGCTCCCATATTCTCCGATGTTTATATAATCATGCGGCGTTTGCTTGATGCCATTACACCGGCTGAATGAAATTAAACCGAAACATGAATGAAATTTAAATGTAACATCGTTCGGATTCGGCTTCCGATTGAAATTGTTTGCTTTTAATCTGCAACCTTTTGCCAAAGTTGACGTATGAAAAAGAAAGAAAAAAAGAAATGGGAATAGCAGCTGCCGATGAAAATTTTTATCGCATAAATCTCCAGAGAGCAACCGTCGTGTACCGTGCGAACGAAACGTCTATCGAGAAAAGAATCCCCTTTCCGACGAGCTCGTTACGCGACCACCGGCTCCGACATACGTAACAAATTCGATTACGCGTTCGTAATTGAAGAACGACGCTTGTGCCGGGTCGAGTACAAGGTCTGCGGAACGCGTGTTTCCAGGGACCAGCCGATTCTACGCTAGAATAAGCCAGTCGATGACGGACTCGCCTACTCGCTGCTGCATGGATCGTTGCAACGTATTTCGCTCTTGTGAATCGATCGCCTGATATTGCGACTAAAATTTGCCAATTCTAGCAATTCCTTTCATATTTTTCTCGCCCTTGTTTCAAATAATAATTTTATGAAACTCGAAGAAACCGAGGTTAGATCAAAGTTCTTCCAGTTCGATTACACGTTGAATTTCTGGTTTTAATTAGATCGAAACTATTTGTAAATTTTCAACGGGATTTACGATTTCGCTAGTGAAATCATCGAGTAAAGAGGATCGGAGAAAATAAACGAAATTTCCTCCTGACAATTCGGATCGAAGATGCACGCGGCTGTAGGACAGCGACCACGCGACGACAACTTCCACAGCGTTGCTCCTTTAAATGTAAATGTTGGCAGTGCGCGAAGGCGTTTACCCGTTGGAATCTGTTTCACTGCAATCTCGACCAGCAGCTCGAAGGATTGCTCGCTCAATGAAGCTTCTCTGGAAATCGTGTTACCGCGATTCCGCCAGTTTGCCGAATGTGTCGTTATTCATCCGACAAACGCAGACCGAAGAATTATTTCATCGCGTTTCGGTCCATGTTAAAGCTTGATGTAGCTTTTCCAACAAACTGCGGCTACGCCGCACCTCTTTGCCGCGATAGCGGAATCTATCGAAATTCAGATTAACGTAACCGAGAGAAAACAAAAATGTTGCAACGCGAAACATAGGTGGGAAATATGTGGAAAAAGTCGAGGCATGTGTTCGTCATTTGCTAGCAGCTGTCGATAAAACGCCACGTTTCCGGTACGTTGGAATGCGCACGCGATTTTCATAAACAATTGAATTACCCGGCAGCAAAAACCTTGACAAACACCGTGTTCCACGAAACGAACAAAATCTATTTTCCAGTTGAATAAATTTCATTTCCTTTCTACGTACATTACAGTCCGGATGCTTGTAAATTATTGTAAATATATCAAATATACAACGAACGAATCAAATACGACTTCTTGACCAAATTTTCGCCTCTTCTCTTTCTCTCGCAAAACCATGTACATATCGATAAAAATAATTAGTTGGCAATTTCCTTGAAAATTAATTAATTCACTGTCACTGCCATGGACATGTTTCGGAAAGAGCTCCATAAATTGGTCGTCGTTCGCTGTTCTTCCTGCGAATTTCTTAAATGGCCATTTAGGCCAGCAATTTTTATTCGACCGAACGGAGAAGAAAAAGATGAAAGGCAGAGAGAGAGAGAGAAAGATGAAAGGTCTGTCCCGAAGAATTCGCACCCTTTGTGCGCGCACCCTCGACTGCCCTCGGCGAGGTTAATTTTAGCTCGAAAATACGAAGCGTCAGTCTGTTATCTAAACGCGTTCGATCCCACTCGTTTTCTACTCGACGATCTCTGAATCGCTGCTCTGCTCCTTTTCCCCCGATCAAGTTGGTTAAATCGGCAGATTTGTATCGTAATTGCTCGAAGTAATCGGCATCGAAACGTCGAAGAAACCAGAGGTACATTGATTCGGAGATATTAATCTGCTCGCTGGAATTGCCGTGAACGTGAGTCTTTTGACGATCACGTATTTGTTCCGGTCTCGTTGTTTTCTTCCGCCTAGAAAATAAAAGAGATCTTTAAAGCGTGTGTCGTACGAGGGGAACGAAATTGTTTAACCAGGTCGGTGGTCGGTTTAATCCAACGCGGAGTATGGCAACGACGACCAAGCGAGGGAATCTCTTCGAGCAGCTCCATCTTTCGGGAGGATGAGTATTCCAGGCGGAACGAATCAATTCTTTTAATTCTTTTCAGGGAAAGAGGGAGAGAAAATTGACGCACGCTCGCGTTCCCGCAAGAAACGCCGACCATATTCGCGACAACGAATCCTGCGAGACCTGTCCTTCCTATCGCCAACCTTTAACGCTTCTAACATCAGCTAAGGTGTCGTTTTCTTGCTTCGAAATTCCTTTCTCCCATTTAATTCGACGTTACTTAATCCTTCTTCTTTTCTATTCTTCTTTTTACATTCTTTCTCATCTCTCTATCTTTCCAATTGTTTTTTCATTTTACGATCACGCTCGTTCCACGAAGATTTCAAGCTGATACGATCGTGATATCGGACACTTGTTTCATCGCATTTTGAATATAAATGAGAAATTTGGAATCGCACGCCGACAACATCTTATTGATCTATTCACGGAGCGTATAACTCAACGTCTCGCGAGGCGTGTCCCGTAAATAGATAAATAAATAAGCAAATTGTGCGAAGAAACGCGTAACCGTTTCGCGAAATCGCAATAACAGCAAGAAACGACGACGGATTAATGAAAGTTTTACGACCACGCTGGCGTAGATCGGTCGTAAAATTGTGGAAGTTTCGTTAGACGTTCTCAAGTCGTGCTAGACGCCAGCGTATCCTTTGGGAATAAACGTGCGGCTGTTTCGAACGTTTAGCTGCATATCGGGCAAAGTGAAAACGTAAATATGGAGAAACGTACGAGAGTTGTATAATTTTGTCTGAAATTTCCTCTAGGCAACACAGGCTCGCGGAGGCATTGGAAAATTTACGAACAAGAATTATCATATACCTGTACTTCAGGTGGTTATTCATGCTAATACTAATCTTTTACGACACATACGTTTACGCTGTATACAAATTTGTATGGAACTTGTATATACAGAGTGTGGTCAAATAATACGTGAGAGTAAAAAAAGAATAAGAACAAAATATGCAATAAAATTTCTTCATTCGAGGCTCAGATTACGAGCAAAATCGAGTTTAAAAATTTACCAAGCGTCAATAGGATGCTATCGTATTAGGTCGTCCGAAAAGTTTCTTCCCTTTTATATGGAAATAGTGGACGCATATTTTCCGTTTTATATTATTTTATCGAATTACGTATGATTCAGTTTGTTCTGTCAAAATAAAGATCACATCGTTCGACAGATTAGGTTTCATGTTTGTATAAAGATGCATCGTTGTAAAAGACGTGTCTGTAAAAGAAAGACACTTTTCGGACAATCTAATGGTAGCGAGAGCAAGTCAACAATATGAAATAAAATTTATTCGTTCGAGGCTTTATTTTCGAGAAAATAGAGTTTGAACGTGTTTATTTAAGAATCGATCTGGTACTTGTATGCGTATGATAAATTTTCAAGCTTATTTCAATGCTGTTCAAGCATACTTGACAAATCTTCAAACTCGATTTTCTCGAAAACTGAACCTTAAATCAAAGAATTTTATTCTCCATATTTCCTTCTTATTTTTATTCGGCCGCACCCTGTATATCTTCTGTATATATTCTCAGATTCACTTCAAGTTTTACCAACACAACCAAATGACAGTCATATTTCATTGAAATCCCAATGCATTTTTAGAATGTTTTATACGACATACTATATGGAGGTACAAATCTTGTAGGAGATTCGCATAATTTCGCGAGCCAGTGTAGCTAATCTCTATTTTGTAGTCGCTCGCCTGGATAGATAACTTCTTGGAGGTTGCAGGCTGGTCGTTTCAGTCCCGAGGCTGATACCGAGAATAATTGATCGAGGCGGAACGCGTTAGCCCTTAAACAACCTTCGACAAGAAAAATTCCGTTCGGACCAGGTAACGTGTGCCGCCAGCCTTTGTAAGACTAAGTGGAAATTATCGGCGGGGAAAATCGATCGGACGCGATACACGTCCTCGCAGCAACGTTCTTTGGCGGAAAGCACCTCGCTAGATGCTGATTTATGGCGTTGTAATAAATTGCGATAACCAACGCTCGCCAATTACCTGGAATGGACAAACGGGCAAACACGTAAATTATACAGGGGAAAGGGGAAAAATCCAAATGGAAGAATCCACGTCCGAAACATTGGTTTCGCGTTTTGTTCTTCACGCTGCAATTCCTCCACGAAATGCGCACCGCCGTTGATTTATCGCTCGGCGAAATAAAAAGTTTCCCGATGGGAACTTTGAATCCGAGACAAAGGAAAAAGCTTGGAAAGTTCATCGACGGGCGCCAAATTCTTTTCTCTGAGCGGCGGTTCGATGCGACCCTGGAATAAGAAAGAATTCGAGAATTAGGAAGGGAATTGCTGGGAAATAATTTGCGGATGTTGGATCGCAACGGTGTAGGAATGTTACGCGTTACGAATGGGGTGGTTTGACGTAATTGCAGGATCCGAGGACAGGCGAAGGAATCCGCAGAGGGAAACTACGCACCATGAAAACTATTTATTTCGCCATGGAGATGCCGCGACCCTACGATACATTCTTGTTGAATTTCCAGGAAGAGAAAGACACATTGCCAGCAAATTCCACAAATTCAAATTTATCTCACCCTGTTTACGTTTTTCATCTTCCAAAGCTCTTGTAAAAAAAAAATACTATAACTCAACAGCAATGCCGGATTACAACGAGTTGTTAATAAATTTTCGTTAGGATCTGCAGAGTAGGAAAAACACCGAACAAATTTCTACAACTCTACAAATCTTCCTCTCTGGTATTCACGTTCTTCCTGTTACTGGGATATTTTTTACAAAATACTCGGTGGCGTTGAATTACGATACGTGCAAACAGATCAGAGTCTGATCTAATCCCAAATCTACCTCGCAACTATCCACACTTCTCATTTTCCAGAGTACTCCGTATCACCGTAGGTGCTCGACAAAATGAATTTACTCGTAATAATCGCTAAATACATATTCTCAGGAACGAGCTCGTGGAAGGAACAGTTCACGGAGGCGTTGACGGTGAGCGGCGGCGACGAGGACGAGGGCGAAGGTGCTGGTGAACCAATCTCACCGTCCTCCTTGGATTATCTGATGCACGGCTTGACGTTATTGTGGAAGGTGTTGTTCGCGTTCGTCCCACCAACTGGTAAGTTGTGCGATATCGAGCTGCACTCGAAAGAATGGACGCTCCTTTGGCGGGGAAAAGGGTGGAAATGGGATAGGGCGGTTTCCTGCGGTGTTGCTGCATCTGGCACGCGTAAGTTATGCTTGTCGACAGCCAAGCGAGATCCACTTATACTCGGTCGAGTACGAGGCACGTGCTGAAATATTTTTGGTATCCCCGCGACACGAGTTTCTCCGCTTTGTAAATTAAAAATCGCAGATGGTGGCCTTGTTTATGAGTGAATTAAATCTGACGAAGGCCGTGCTATACGATTCCAAGGATACGGAACGAATTTTCATTCACACGTGGAAAATTCTTGCAGAAAATTATTAAGTGGACTAAAAACGGTACATTGGATATCGTATTAATATGTATCAGAACATATCAGCTGGATACAGCGATTATTCCGTTTTATGACTGTTAATTATTCGATTTATTCCCTATATTTCGAACAAACCGCGTTCTCTAAGAGTTCTTCTCACAACGCGTATTCTTGTCACGTGCAACCGAATTTCCAGCCGAGGTTTCTTACTTCGGATCAATTCGCTCGTTATCCGCAAAATTAGCTACAGTATGTCGTTATCGGCAAGAAACTCAAAAGGTAGGCAGGTGATCAAATCGATAGAACGATTGGAAAGTCACGAGGATTTCTATCTGACAGTCCGCTGTCAAGTTACACGTTTGCTCCATAAAACTGATCTGACAACCGGCCTGAAATACTTCGACGAGCGATCTCGATAACCTCGAGGACAGTTTCTGGCGATCTTTCATTGTCCTGCGGAAGAATCGCACAGATTCTGCCGCAGGCAAATGGTAAGTACCGGCACACAATTCTCTCACGGAAAAGATCTTGCGGCGGATTACTGTGGACAGGTAGTGAGTTACAAGAACTCAGTTGCAGAGTATCAAGAGACGCTCAACGTGGTAGCGAGACTTTTATTGCAAGAAGGGCTCTGCCAGGAAATGGAAATCGAGTTTCCCCAGTGGATCGAATTCGTCGTTTAAACTCACGCTAGACTGCCTCCACATGCCCGTCGCTCTTTTTCTCGTCTGCACTGCTATCGTTTCGTCTTCGTTCGTCAACGCCGCTAGTTCGCTGTGTGTTTCACGTTGTTTGGAACTGCCCTTTCGACGATCGAGCATCGAAGGACTACGCGACAAAGGATAAGGGTTAATTAAAAGTTGTCTTACTATTATGGACCTCTACTATTAGCTACGTCGAGCTCCAATTTCGAAGAATCAACGAAGCTAATTCCTAGTTTCCACTCGCTACGTTTCATAGGGATTTCTGTAAGCAGCGAACCTTATCGAAACGCATCGTTCGTACGAAAAGATCGTGTTTTGTGTTAGATCAACGGTGATTAAACACCGTTGTTACGATGGGAATCGTATAAGCGTTTTCGAAGTCGAATTGATCGACTCCAGCTTTTTTGTCTATTTCCTATTTTTCTTATATACGTACGCGTGATATTTCAATTTTCAAGAGACAAATGACTTACTTCCACAATGTTCCATTGATAAATAAACCTACGATAGCAAGAAAACGGCACAAATAGCAGTAAATTATGAGGTAAACTTGAAAAACAGTGTTTCTAACATTGTGATTTTAACTGCTGTGCAGATACATATTTGCCTGCCTCTAATGTCTAAGGGAGAAGTTTGCTTGGAAATGGCAATTTGCTACTATAACCCCTGACAACTTTGATGTCCGTTTGTGTCCATTTCCACTGGGAATTGAACTACATTGCCGCAGAGCTCGAGTTACTGACCGCAAGCCTCCTAATATTTGGGAATAAATTTCTGTCGATCGAGCGTAATTCCAACGTTTCAGAAATTGTTGAATGAACAATTTCCCGCATAATCCTTAACTAGGGCCGGCAAATTACTTAAAACGGCGAAATTAATCGCTCCTTCCTTCCCTATCGCAGATAAATGATCGAATTTCAAGCTGGAAATTGTAAAATCGACGCTTTACGCTTGTTCTATCCAATAAAGGGCAAGTGTTCGATTAACTTGCATAAAAAGCAGTACTTTGCCATCCTTTATGCACGCATGAAAACGAGGCGTTAACACGTAAACGCGATTTTCTGTTTTACATGAGAGATAAAACACGTCCGCAATCAATAAGCTCCGCGTGGAAAAAAGCATAAACGATTTTTCATCTCAAGCGTTAATAATTATTCCGTTTAACGAAATATTGAGAAAAAGCGTCGTAAAATGGCGCGCACCGTGCGTGTAGTACAATTAATTTGCCATATTTTGTTGCTATACGCGTTTACAGAATATTACCAGAAATTTACCAAGAAAGGAAAATTCGTGTCATAAAAGCGTACAGCGTGAGTGCAGAAAAAAAGTAATGAAGTCGTTGAATTCTCGCAACCTCGACTCTCGATTCGTAACAATGGTGCAGGGGAAAAAACGTAATCGTGTTCCTAGTCGCGTGTCAATGGTCATCGATTGATCGTAAAATCGTCAAAACGCGTACATCGCGTAACAACAGTCGAAACAGTCGTAAAACTTGCTCCATGTCACAGGTCATTCCATAAATAACGTCGCGTTTTCCCGTCTAACTTTAGCGATAATTTTACAATATTTTTAGTAACAATTTTACAAAATGAGAAATTATATCGATGTTAGTTTCAGATAATTTTAAAGCGTGAAATGTTTATCGGGTGTAACGAATCATCCGTTATTTTCTAGGTTTATGTTTCGCCGCTTTGGCGATTTTTCATCAAATACCATTTGAAAAATATTGTACATCGGCGCTAACTAAATTCACCAAATAAAACGAACGATGTAGTAGTTTCCAATTATATCCTTTTATTCCAAGTAATATTGTTTTCCCTGTCACACGATCGATTATCGTCATTACGAGAGAGAAAATTCTATTTTAATCGCAAACGTTGTGAAATTCCTACCTGTACGTTTCGACAATTGCGTATTTAAATTCGTGCATATTCAAATTTTCGGATATTCAAATTTTCAAATACGTTTCTATCCTACAGACTGAAGGTGGAAAATGAAAGACGACCTGGTATCTCGTCGCTTCCAAGTTCTTGCTTCTCTTTCATCTGTAATTGTTCCTTTATTAAATAAACCTTGTAATCGCCTTAGGGAGTAATTGACTTTTTAACATAGTAACACGGCGTCTCTGGCCACTGGTTAAGAGGCTAACGGATCTTCCTTCTCCGAGACTCTTTAAATTTTCATCGCGGTTCTTCACCAATGGAAAAGAAAACGCCGCGACGACGAGCGGTTGCCGCAGAGGCGAAAAAAGTCCTCGGCGTTTTCCAATGTGAAGCGGGACAGCGGATTATAAAATTAACGCTCGAACCTACGGATCGTGAGAGGGAAAATTCAGCTAGCGACAAGTTCCCTCGCGAGAATAAAAATTCCAGCGAGAAACTTCGTGCTTACGCCGTGTACTCAGATCTTCATCTTCCTCTTCTGCGCGCGTTTAGGAAATATTTCATGGAAAGACGCGTTCACGCGATTCAACGTGATCAATGTTGCGCTACTTCGATATGTTACAATTTCATACGATGATTCTCTGAATTAAAGATTAAATTACACTTTTTACTAGGACAGAAAGGAACCTAAATCTAAAGGGATATATATAGGAATAGAGGATCGTTCATAGGATCGTGATCCACCGAAATTCGTATTCTAGGAACGCGATCGCATCCATGTAAATTTACTCCAGCGACCGCGCAAATTATTACCTCGAGGGCGTGTCACGAACACTCTTCGCGCTTCCTCTCTCTCTCTCTCTCTCCCTCTTTGCTTTTATCGAGTGGCTGTCGACCCGGCGGCCGATCGAAGCCCGATCGAAACCGACCCCTCTGCATAATCCGCCCCACAGGAAAAACCACTTTATAGCCTCTCTAGATTTAGCTGAAGGATTCTTCGCACGAGCTGATCGCGGACCTGGCTATCGTTGAGCATTATCGTTGTCTACCTCTGCGTTGATCACGCCAATTTAACTACAATCCGTGGCCATCGAATCGCGATCACTAAAAACATTCGATATTGTTTATTTCTGTTGATTAAAATTGCGAAACGTGGATGAATCTCGACGGCGAAATTTATTAATCATCAAGGTTATTACCTTAATCCTTAAAATAATCCTTAGAAGTTAACCTTCCCCAATGGGAAACGAGCCATTTCCTTCTTGAGAATTCGCTGTTAATCCCGTGCATGTGCGTGGAATTTGAGAAATTAATGGAGCCGTGGTTTCTAAATTAAAATTAAATTAAAATTAGTAGAAGAATTGTCTGCCTGTGAAAGTAAACTGTTACGACTCGTTTCTAACTTACGTTCCGGCAGCTTCCATCCCATCGTTGATCGATGCTAGGGATTTATTTCAAAAAATTGTCGCAAGCGTCACTATATCGTCTCTTTCAAGTATTCTCGTTGTCTCGAGCAGCGTTTGTCGATCGAATCGTGGCAGATCTCCGCAAAGATAAGGATGACGATCAAGATAGCCGCGGATCGTAACGAGGGGAGAGAAAGCTCCTCGCCGCGTGAAGATCATTGGCGCGGGAAAGCGGGCTGCTGCAGTGTCCTAGAAAATGTCCAAGGACGTAATCTCGAATGAAACGAATGGCTGATGTACCTTAGCCCGTTTTATCAAACGAACACGAAATAGAGAGCACATGCACATAGGCCGCGCTCCTAACAATTATCGACAGAAATATCGTACCTCTACGGTTTGCTCCCACGTTTTCTTTGACGAAGACCCCGATAGTACAGGTCATGGTACGACCCGTATGCGTGTGATATAGTCGAAAGGATAGAAATAGAAAGAAACGAGTATTATTGAAACTGGAAAAAGAGCTGGCTAGTATTGATTAATATAGTAGAAATTGGTTTGGAAGAGTCTCGTAGAAGAAATAATATAATTGCACATGCAAGTAATCCATTATATAATTACACATCGAACAAGTTAGAGGTAATCGAGCTTCTAACTTGGACGATGTGAC